CCCCCCTGACTGGACAGGCCACTGAGACCCCACCCTCCCACGACCAGTCCCGCTCCGACAGGCAGAGACTCACGTCTTTGGCAGAGGAGCCCGACACCTCGATCCAGGTCTTGGAGAAGAAGGCGCAGGAGCCCAGCATGAAGACGATGTAGATGACGGCGTGGACCGGGTCATCCAGAACCGAGCCGAAGGACTCCGGGGGCGAGAGGTAGTAGCACAGCCCTCCTACGGGGTAGGCGCGGGCCGGCCCGCCTGCAGAGGTGTCCTGCACAGGAGCGACAGACACGCATGGAACACGGACACCGACCCCGGGAGCAGAGCAGCAGGTGGATCCCAGCAGGACGCCACCCTGCCCCTGCAGGATCACGGGAGATCCGCCTGAACACCTGGTGCCAGTGATCGGGCAGATCCCGGCACTGAAGACCAGGACCAGGAGAACTCCGATGGCACACCACCTCCCTTATGGCACCACTAATTAATCACCTTTATTAATTAACCCTTATTAATTAACCCATCAACATCGCATACTGGGGCTTAAATTATACACGTTTAACATACATGTTTACTAACCCTACAGCACCGCTAAACAGGACTCTTTCCCAAATCTGATTCTCATCTGTTCATAATTAAAGGCCAAAAAAATGATAAAATTTAAAAGAAGAGAGCTAAACAGAAATGGGAGGTTAAGATGCAATAATTAGGATTCAGGAAACCGTACACAATGTCAGCTATTACATTCTGAGAAGCACATGGAGATCAGAGGACAGCACTAGTGTTGAGGTTTGGAAGTGGGTGTCCATGTGTGCATAAAGGGATACTCACAGACCAGGTGCCCAGCAGGTTGACCAGGAAGTTACCGCTGAACCGCGTGGAGAGCATCTGGGAGATGACGTACAGATTGGACACCAGGGCAGACTGCAGGATGATGGGAATGTTGGAGGTGTAGAAGAGCTTGATGGGATAGGTGTTGTACTGGCCACGGTACCGGGCCGACTTGATGGGCAGGTCCACTCGGAAACCCTGGAAGAAACAGACCAGGAGAGATGACCACGTGGTTCCCTGGACACACGGGGCACACAACCCCTCCTCCCAGCACGGTCCGACTCGACGCACGTCTCCATCGTCTTCATTCATAGCTGCAATCCCAGGAGTGGAAAGCTTAACTTGAAGACTTTGGGTTAAGTTTCCAAAAATTTCCAAAAACAATTACAAAGGTCCAACGGGGCACATTGGTCCATTTAAAAAAAAAAAAACAGCCCAGGTAGAAGGAACACTAGAGGATGGAAGAGGTGGGGCTAGGCCACACCAGGGGGGCGGGGCTAGGCCACGAGCGGGCACACACCTGGAAGTAGATGACCACGGCGAAGACGAAGACGGTGGCGATGAGGTTCATGAGGTTGGGCAGGTTCTGGCGGTAGAAGGCCTCCCGCAGGGCGCGCACCTTGTCGTTGCGCGTGGCGAGCAGGTGGAACAGAGCGATGATGGCCCCCTCGAACTCCGTGCCTGGAGACCACAGGAGAGAAGAAGCCCGAAGCGTCACACTGAGAAACACAGCAGGTGTGGGCAGCCCAGTACAGACGCTGGCATCCATGCAGGAGCTCCCAGTTCAAAACCCAGCTGCTGGTGGTGAAGGGTCATGGGTTCCCATGCAGGATGTTGCTCTGGCATCCCGGCACAAGGCACTTCAGCGCAACTGCTCCCATAAAGACACTGCAAACGGGTCTCCTGGTTATCGCTGCAGTAGAAGTTTTGCTCAATCGACGTAATTGATGAAATAAAGGATTCAGACAGGAAACAGCTTTCTGCTTCATGCTAAGGCACGAGCTCCTAAAGAGATTCAGAGCTTTTAAATCCAGTCCAGTTCTCAGTCACGTGAAGAATTTAAATCAGTTTAGTCAAGGTTAATAATCTTCAGTTACTGCTTGGAGACGGGCTGAAACGTCAGGGCTTGTGGTACCAGTTGACTGAGCCACTGCCCCTAAGAGAGTAACTCTCCGTGTCAAGGTGAGATTTTACAGACCATGGTATCAATTTCCCTACGGGATTAATAAAGTATTATCTATCTATCAGCAACCACTAGGCGGCTAGGTAATGTATCCCCACACATTTACTCCATGAAATGAAAGTTTTTGGGATCATCCCGTACAGAACCATCTCCACCCTACTCTCCCTACATCCAGGGGCACAAACACTGGGGTCCTGCTGTCACACTGACCCCCCTGCAAACACCGCGGTGCTCACCTCTGCCAGTGTTGACCGTGGTGGGGCTGAAGGCCTTCCACACGATGGTCTCGCAGATGTTGGTGGCGATGAAGAGGGAGATACCCGAGCCCAGGCCATAGCCCTTCTGCAGCAGCTCGTCCAGCAGCAGCACGATCAGGCCGGCCACAAACAGCTGCAGAGGGAGACACCGTCAGCAATGCAGGCCGGGGGCACACACCACGCTCCCTTCAGAGAAGATTTACCAACTCCCAAGCACAGATTAACACTCCCGCTACCGCCGGCAGCACTGCGTTTCCAGAATCCCACCTGGATAATGATGAGCAGGCAGATCCCGGCGCCCATCTCCGACGGGTCTCCGTACATCCCAGTCATCACGTACACGATGGCCTGGCCGATGGTGATGATCATGCCGAACACTGCCGGGAGAAACCGTCGGAACTTCAGGAGGGCTACGGACCGCAAGAGGCTCGTTCCCCGCAGCTCGGCTTCCCTGCTCCGTTACCAGAACTTAACCGGACCCTCACTGCTCCCGAGATTCCCTCAGGCCCAACACCAGCGCGTTACCGCCCGAGATCACACTCCCGCTGCACAGCAGATTGATCCATGCCACGTTTTGATTTCTGCCAACACTTAAGATTGGCCACATACAATTTCTTGCATTAGGAATTAGTCTTTTCGCAGACCCCAGCTTGCTCTCCATGAGACACACAGACAGGGAGAGAAGCTGGGGGTCAGAGCGCAGGGTCAGCCATCTAAACGGATGCAACGCTTACGTTTCTGCGCGCCGTTGAACAGGGCTCTGTCCTTGGGGGTGTCCCCCACTTCGATGATCTTGGCTCCAGCCAGCAGCTGCATGATGAGGCCGGAGGTGACGATGGGAGAGATGCCGAGCTCCATCAGGGTCCCTAGGATGGGGAAACAAGGAATTCAGGCCCCGGCACTGCCGCCTCGGAGCAGAGCAGGAGGCACAGCCCGGCCCAGCACTCGTGCCGGGGCGACAAAACAAACACTGGTGCGTAAACCGCACCCGGAGATCAGGACGGGAAACACTGCGCCGCTGTCACTGGGGCAAGATCGAAGAGACGCACATCGAACCGCAGCCATTCCTTTCATCCGTGTGCATCGGAATCTACATCCCCTGCGTGTCCACCTGGAACTCCCAATCCGGTGTTTACAGGGCAGGACAACTGAGGAACGACACGGTGGGGGCAGCAGACACCCTTAACGCTCAGCAGCGCTGGAGCCAACTCACCTCGGTTAGAAGCCAGGATCACCCTCATCCAGTAGAAGGGATCCGCGGAGTCGGAGGACATGATCCCAAACAAGGGGATCTGGAACAGAGGGAGAACAGGGTTACTTGATTATTAATAACTATTAATAATGAACCATTATTAACTTAGTGGAGACCTTCAGCCAAAGCCACCACCACGCGTACCCACGGGTATGTCACTGCAGCAGTGCAAGTGTATCATCTTCCAGAGTAGGAGCTGTGTCCCCCCCGGGATTTGAGCCCACAACCCTTCCCCCTTCAGGTACAGGGTCATGACCTCTACGCCACACTGCTCCCCGTACTTGGAAGTGACGCCCAGACAGAAGCCCCCTGCCCCCTCCTTCTAAACCATCGCGTTCTGTCCAGTGTGTCCTGCCTCCACCCCTGGGTTCAGTCTTGTGATGGCAATTCGCATCCTGCTGCACAGAAGCTTCAGCCCCTTCAGGTTTTATGAGCTGCAGTGTGTTGTACAAACTGTACCAATTATGCAAAAGAGGAAATACTCCTTTCCCTTTTAACATGTACCTCACACACACCCGCACACGGAGAAAGTAAGGCTTAGCTCCTGGGGCTCTATGATATGCCAGAGCACGGAGATGACACAACCCGAAACAGCTCGACAGCTGCACACCGACGAACGGCGCTAGACCGGTCCAATTAAGCTAACGATCGGCTCCATTAGGTCATTCAGAGCAGAGGTATTTTTCTGTTACAAAATAACAGAAACTCCAAGCGCCCCCCCCCCACATTGTAAGCAGATGCTCTAAGAGATCCCACCCCCTGCAGAACACAACGGGGCGCCATATACAAGAGGACCATGGGACACCTCCCAAGGTCACTCTG